TATGGAAAGCCACGACGCGCGGGCATGAATCAATATCTATATGCAAACGTTTATACACCACAAACGCGCATTTTAAAACATATTTTTTTCGTTACGTTTTTCGTCAATTTTGAGTACAGCGAAAACAGCAGCATTTTTACAATGCAATTGTCAAGTAATAGTTTGATAAATATTTTAGAAAAAACTGCAATGTAAATAGCAATGTAATATCTCCTCAATATACAATCTCAATAATTTTTAAAAGATATTAAATGTCTGTATAATATGTATAAATAATATGTATCTGTATGAAAACACAATGAGATCAAAGAAAGAAAACATATCCTTTACCCTAATTAAATGTTGTAGTTAAAAGATGCAATGTTTTTATATCAAAACGTGTCATCATATATTTTGTAATACTTATTTTTAATTAATGCAGAAATTTGTGGTGTGTTGCAATGAATACTGATTAAGTTTAATTTATTACAATTTATTCCAATAGATTAACTTAATCAGTATTCATTGCAACACACCACAAATTTCTGTATTAATTAAAAACAAGTATTATAAAATATACGATCACACATTTCTAAAGCGTTTGGAAAAAGTTTTTTAATTTATAAAAAATTAAATTTAAATTTGACATGTCACAGTTCGTTAAAAATGTTCCGTATTTTTACCAACATATTCATAATTTAAATATAACAAAATTTAAAATAAATGAACTGATTCTTAAACTTTTATTTTTTAGTTGTCTCTAATTAGAAGTAAAAAATACCTCTGTCCCTTCAAACCATCATTCCCACCATTTTTGGACTGCTAAAAGAATTAGCGACCTCGAAGCTCAGCTTCTGCTTCCTTGGTCGGCAATTACGTGCACGACGTTCGTGGGAGGAGTTCTTGTTAAAGGAAGTAGGTACTCTCACAGGACTAGTCTCGCGTTGATAATAGGACTTTTCAATAGAATCCTTAATGATTATTCCTCATTATTCCGATCCGTTTCATCTGTCCTTCGCTCACCTTCAATATCGATTTCTCTTCGCATCCCATCAATAAATTTTATCTAATCTGTTGAAAATTCCACTTTCTCTTTTCCATAGTAATTAACTCGCATAAAATTAGTATTTCTTCAACCGCAGATGTTACTCAATTATCAGAATTAAAGTTAAATTTATCTAATTATTATTAAAAATTATTACTAATCTTTAAATTTAATTAAAAATTTAATATATATACATAATAAGACATTATTTAATATAACAAAAATTTTTATAACACAATTTAAGCCTCCAAGGAAATTTAATGTATAACAAAATTTTATTTACAAAATTATGTACCTTTGAATTTTAATTAAGTTGTATACCTTTTAAGGCCACAAGTAAATCCCTTAATTTGTCCTAATTATTAACATAAAATTTTATAACAATTAAAGCTAATTATTTCTTAACTTAATTCAGATTTAATTCATTGTAAAAATGTAATAAATGAACAACAGAAACACGCAATTAATGTTGTTAGGAATATTTATAACATTTGATGTAAATGTCATATTAATAGCATTAAATTTATATTTTGTTGAATTAATAATATATACTAAAAACAATTGCTTATTTTTAATCCTGTGTAAAACGTGTATTCTAAAATATTCATTGTTCTTCAAAAATCTGCAAACAGCGAAGCTAAATCCAATATAGTTCATATAAAATTTCGCCCATTATTTATAATTGAAGATTCTTTTTTTTCGTCTCTCTTTTCCTGTGTCTAGAAAAAAGGCAAATAATGTCGAAAAATTCCGATTCTATTCATCGGGCTATTAGACTGTAAGCTTTTTACAATATTTCACTTTTATGAATAAGAATGCAGCTCACGCAAAGCAGATATTCGAGGACGGCGGAACTTCCTCCGAAAAGACTCTCGAAAGTTCACCTAAACCCTTTTAAAACTTCAAGGCCTCGCACACCCTCTTTTGCACTTCGTCCCTTCCAAAATCCCTAGCGCAACTTAAATTCAAATCTCGACTGCACTCTGTGTTCTCACACAGAGCAGCTTAAATTTTTAAATAGGTTAATAGGTCTAAACTACACTCAAATATGAAATCCGCTCTTAACGTTAATAAGTATAAATATTACAGTTTATTTTAGTACATAATTATTTTAATGACTTAGAAAATCATTTCACATATACAAAAACTTTCTAAATAAAATATTTTATCATTTTACGTTATACTTTAGAGTTTAGGTTATATACACATTGAGATATTAGATAAATTTCATTTATATTGAAAATTATGTGTAAAATATTTTTTTTTATTTAAAAAAATATCTAAAAATATATAGCACATATATAGCATATTTACCACTAATTTAATACTACTGTAGAAATATATGAATTTATGTGATAATATTTGAATTTAATAGAAGTTAATAAGAAACTTTGTATCTCTTAAAAAGATGTATTTATTATAATATAAACTATAAATGAACTTTTAATATAAAATTTGATCAAATTGAATCTTTCATTTCTGAAGTAAATTAATTTAAAAAAAAAATTAGAATGAGACACAGTATCCTGAGACGTGTATAATTTTTATATTTTTATTGATCAGTGGAAAATATTTTCAATATGAAAGCATACTAAGATAATTACTCATTTATCCTGTTAATATCTTTACTGAAAAGCACGCATGTTCTTAAACGTTGACTGATATACGAGAAGCGTGCTTCGTGAGAGAAAGTTCAACGGACTTTTCCAAGTAAGTTTTCTTGTTCTATTCTCAATATCTCACACGTGCGCTCTAAAGTTATATGATACAATTTTATTAAGCACCTGACTTCGTCTGAAGTATCGCAAAAAATATACCTATTTAGTTATAATAAACGGGAATAATTTTTCGATAACAGAATCTGAATTATGTATCATCCTTCGTGTAAAATATGTCATATTTAACGCTCAGCTGGACATTTATACAGAAACGATCAGCATCACTTCTATAATATCGTGATTGCAATACATTAAAACATACTTGAAAATATAAAATAAAAGATATTCAAAATGTTATTTAAACCGATTTAATATATTTGATTTTAACTAATATTTATTGTATATATGAACAGCCATTTTAAAATTAATATTACTTTCAAATTATTAATTTTACGTGTATATAGATTACGGCGAACTTTAATTAATGCGTATGAGACTATTCTCGTTTCATGTGGATCCTTGATGACTAAATGCCGAATTAATACCTCGAGCGCAATGTGGATTGCGAACGCACAATCTGTAGCATTCAAATCTCGGAGCTCTAGACGGCTTAAACCCATATATCTGCTGTCAATCAACCGTTGTCGATAGTTACCATATCGACAATTCCACGACATGTGTGAGATATCGCAATAGTAATCGAGAAGCTTTCTGTAATTATTTCTATTATTGTCAAAGCGGAAGGTTTTTCTAAAATATCTTCTTCAACATCAACATCCATAATCTTCTTTTCAAAATAATATTTCCTTTTAGATAAGGTAAAAATTTCGCGGAAAGCGAAAATAAATTCATGTAACGATTGGAAGCAGCACTCCGCTTGCTTTTGTGCAAACAAATCCTTAGCCGGAGCACGATTTCAGGGTTGCTCTGACCACGGTATAACGCGTTCGTTTGCCGGAACATCATTTTTCATCCGTCGCCTCTCATCTGGAGTCCCGACTATGATTTATCGCGCCGCCGCATCGTCGAAAAACTTGCTAATGCGTGCCGCGCAACGGCAGGATGAAGATGCACTGCCGTTTCCGCGGCATGAGAAATCCCGCAAGTATCGACAGGGTTTTCAGCGAGCGCGTTAGTGGAAATTAATCTCAGCTTCGTCGCCAACTGCGCTTTTTCTCGGGTTTTGCACCGTAAAAGTTCGCAAGAACTTCCCGTCAAAGAATAATATTTAATCTGCTATTTCAATACTAACTTTATATGTAGAATTATTCACTCTCCTGTATCTAGCTTTAGTACACTCATTATAGTATGTAACTTATATTATTCACAACACAAAAAGACCAAAATTAAAAATTGTTGAAGGATCTCAATTAAAACTTTTTCCTAATGTACAGAATGTCACATTTTACAAATCAATGAAACGCAAGAGTAACTAAAATTATGTAGTAAATTATGTTTAAAATAAAATTTATTACATTAACTTGAATTATTTGTGTACATATAAATATATACAGTTCTATAACTTTTAATTAATATTTCAAGGAGTAAAAGAGAATGAAATTTTGAACTTTTAATTCAAAATTTCCAAATTTTGGCTCATTGTCAGACCATTATTTACAGAGTTGTTAACGAATAAAGTTGATCAATTAGGATGCGCCAAAACTCTTGCTGTATACTCTTGTATACAGAAGCATAGCATATCATGAGGCTCTTCGCGCTTACTGTACATTATCTCGATTAAAATTTTATTCTAAGTTTTCATTATTAACAAATAAGTAAATGAATAAATAATAGTAGATAATAAGCCAAAATTGGGAAAGAAACTTTTCATTCTCAGTTCAAAATTTCATTCTCCTCGAAATATTAATTAAGAGTTATGAAACACCCTGTATAATTATAATTTTTAAAAACTCAGTTGAATACAAATTTACTCAATATTAAAGTATGTTTCTTAAATTCAAATAAATTTTATTTTAACGGAAATTTAATTGATAAATTGTGTCTAACTTTTAAAATTAATAACATGATTCCAAATATAACTTTTTAAAGAAAGTTTGTTAGAAAAAATTATTATTGGATCACTCTTTATTCGAGAAAAATGCCCGACAAATCGTAGAATAAGACAATAAATGTGTTTAAGTGAAAAATATTGGATGGTAATGTAAATAATAGATATGTAATATTGACGGATGATATAATAATATAAAAAGGTATTAGAAAGATTAAAAGATCTGTTGTCGCAATACACTCAAGGATTCCTATACACAATATTAAATTGGCAATTTGAAATATACGCGCTATGATGCAAAATAACTCACCAACTGGACGCCGTTGTCTCCAAGAATTTCTGGCAGTCATCGCGCTTCTTGACACAAAAATCGACACGGTTGCTTTGTCTGCAACATGAACATTGATCGGGAGTGAAATACCTCGGCATATTAAGACGGTAATTTGTGATCGCGACTGTTAGACACGTCGTTTGATCACCGTTCGATTAGAAGGCCATTGGGGTTTGCCTTGCTGCACCGCGCAAACTTTGGCACGTGTTGCGCCGCCAAAAGTTGGCGCCGTTTAGCGCGTCGATAAAATCTCAATTATAGTCTTTGACGTATCGCGCAAGAGGCCGATATCGTACACTACCAACTAACATTAATGTACCCGGATGGTATTACATCGCTGATATATTTCATACTAACATGAAATTTCAACAACCATTACTGACAACTTTACATGTGACTTATTATGTAAAATCACGAAAGCTCTATAATTTATCAACTATAGTGACGTACACTCTATCGGTACATAGTTATATTAATAATATATCATTTTCAAATGTAGTTATATTTTTAACTCTGTAATTTTTTTAAGTTATATGCATATTAATGTCATTAATATAACGCGACTTTTTATTTATTTACCAATAAATATTTAATCATAAATTTCTTTCTCTCTATTCCTAGGAAAATGTGTTTTTCAGAATATTATTATCCACAAGATTTTTTTCAATGTATATTTTGAAGTGATAGTGTATCATTTAATAGAATCATTAAAAATAAAAATAAATATTTGAATAGAATATAAAATAAACTACAAAAGATAAATAAACCAAGAAAACAGATCGTGTGCCAAAAGTATAGAATAACAAGGAAAGAAATCCATTCTAATTTATCATCCTGCGTGAAATTGCGTCGGAAATCCCTACGCTTTTAATGCATCGATAAAATCTCAATTGTGGAGTGAGATGTATGGAGAAGTCGACCCTGCTCCACACATCGCGTCAGCGATGTAAAAGGAACGTAACGGGCGTATATAAAGCTATACTACACTGAAGGAATCTAGAGACTATTATCTAGCGTATTCATTGGCTAACGGCACGGCCGTTACAATTTCGCGCCGGACGCGCGCCAGATACGATGGATCGCGGTATCTCGTGCTCGGATTTAATTGAAGACCTTACATAAAGGTGTAGAGGTATGTATATACATAAAGTTTATCTTCCGCGAGGGGCCAAATATGTTTCGCGAAAAGTGAGAAACGGAATTACGTCCTCCACGTCTATCGGGGAAGATCTCGCGCACGCTATCCACGAATTATCTGAAAGGACAATTTCATGGATATATATAGAAGTTGTTATCATTTAAAGGTCCGAATGACAAAAAGGAGTACATTATTGTTGCACAACGAACAAAATTATTTATCCTTTTGTTTGGTAAACAGCGGCCGATCAATTAGCACTGCTGCGAATAAAAAAATAAACGTTACACCGTGAATGAGATATAAATTTACATCACGATGTTTCGGAGGAAAATGCATGGAATATTTCAAGCAAATATTTGCAATAAATAACTTGCATTAATTTATTTATTGCAACATCGTATTCAACAGATAGATACTATGGCTTCTGACCAGGGATTAGAAGTAACTCGTTACTTGCAACGCCGTTACCTACAATTACTTTTTTTTTATAACGGATTGGTAACGGCGTTATTTTATTTTTTGGTAATTGTAAGGGTAACATAGTTACATTTTTTCGGTAACGGTAACGAGTTGTACAGTTAGTTTTATCGTTACTTTTTGTATTTTGAACTTTCTGTATTTATGACAAAATTTTCGTATGTATATTCAATCTTCAGTTTTTAGTTAGTATTCACATAGTTTACTCTTATTTTAAGACTGTTTTAAATAATGTCTTAGAATATTAATATGGCTCTGTGATTGGTTTGGTGATATCTCAAGAATGCCATAAGTCAATCAATATCACAAATTAAATTGACAAGTAATTTAATAAGATATTTTTATATTATATGCATCTCAAAATATTTAAAAAAATTTATGAAAAATATCAACTGAATTGCGTTTCAAGGTCGAAAATTTAATTGGCGCGTAGTAAAATTGGATATGTATATATAAATTTATTTTGAAATATTAAGCACAAAGCTGAAAGCTCTAGCTCATATCAAAAAGACTTTCATTTTCCTAGTTGTATTTTATATATCGGTCTAGTGTCATTGTTGCTTTTATTAATATTAAAATAAAAAATTGCATCTTAAATTAAACTAATCTTGTTTGAGCATTAAAAAAGTAGCGAATCGTTAATCGGAAAAATAATGAATCGTTATTTTTTAAGTAACGGTAACAATAACGAGTTATTTTTAAAAATTAGTAACTAGTTATTTTTTTAACTCTGTAACAAGTAACAATAACTAGTTACATTTAAAAAGTACTTTTCATTCCCTGCTTCTAACTAGCATAGTTTTCTGACCCAATTTCAAATAAAAATAACTACACAACTATATTAATATAATGAAACTATTTTATTAGTACTTCAACTCGTTTTGTTATACGTATAATTTAAAGGTTTTATTATGAGTGCAACTTATATATAAAGTTGCACTTATAATAAAGTTGCTTCACATTCTCAGTCTTTCATTAATTATGGAAGATGACACGTTAAATGAGAAAAGTGAAGAGGGCTCGTTCTAATTGAAGAGCACTGTGAGAACTACTACGAGAGAACAGCATCTTTCATTATCAGTGTAACCACAAGAAAAGTTTAAAAATCTTTTTATTTTTTTTTACATTTCCTTACAACTGTCTTAAAGAAAAATATCACGGAAAGATTTCCTACGTTTTAAGTACTTTAAAAGTTTCTAATTATTTTCAACGTTACTCTCTCTCTCTTTCTCTCCTTCTCTCTCTAAAAATAAAGTTATAATGAATACGTTTTTTAATAAACATTCATTTACATACAAATTTATATTTTAATTAAATAACGCAAGAAAATAATTCTTTAAATATAATTATTTTCGTTCGAAAAAATTTTATACAATTACAAAAATAAATAAAACTTCAATCGTTTGTCCTGTTTTCATTAAACTTTGATCATATTTTTTCAACAGAAATAAAACTAGTAAATATAAAACTATAATACAATTGAAAATTCGCGTTAAATTGAAATGCTTTAATAATAGGAAACTATTCAAATTTCGCACAGTTAATTTATAATTCATCAAATTACTGCTATTAATATAATATTAAGTAAATATATGTATACTCTGCATACTGTATATTCACACTATACATGTACATATGTATTAATACTATGCATATATACAATACCTCTATTAAGCTGGAACTCCCCACTAACGTGAATCAAGATCGGACCTATCAAAACATTTAGTGCTATTTATGTGCTAATTTGTTGCTCTAGTCTAAGTTTGTTACTCAAATCGTTTAGCAAAAAATGAGGAAAAGAGAGGGTGCTATTTAAGTTGGACACCTCCCCCATACTAAAGAAAATATATATTGAGAGATCAGATAAAAAAGACGAGTATTATACTAAAATTTGTTGCTCTAAAATAGCAAAAACATTTTCAAAATATAGCATTGTTTAAGAAATACCAAAAATACACAGTACTGCACTATTATATCTGACTTGCGAATGAATTTGTTGATCGTATGATTATAATACCAAAACAATCTACAGGCGACTGTCAAAATACACCTAGATAAATTAGCACATAAATAACACTAAATCTTTTTATAGATCTGACCATAATTTGCGCCAGCGGGAGGTTCAGCTTAATTAAGAGGGCATACTATGCATACAAATTAATAAAGTGGTAAAATAAACCATCGTTAAGCGGCATTATAATCCGTACGGTATGACGCATTGAGATGCTTCCATATATTACTCAATTCTTTCAGTTATTATAATGAGAGTTATAAAGCATAAAGAGAGTTATAAATTCTTCATGCTGAACAAAATTCTTGAATTTGAATATATTAAAAAAACGCGCGCAAGAATAATCGATAACATGCGAGAAAATATTACATTTCGATTTCAGAAATCAATTACCACTGCATCGTTCGTACGTGCATTTCTCCGATTTTGTTAAATATTTCTTTTCTCCGAAAGATTGATGAAGATTCATGGCCTATCGCGCAATACAATAATAAATTCTTCATCCATCAGATTCACTATAATTATATATATTCTGCCCGAACTTTTTGAGTATTTTATTTTGGTACTATGCGTGCTAGAAATCTTCATTCAAGAATTACAGAAAACAGAAGTGTGTTTTTGATTATAAATGAATTCAAACATTAAAGAAGAAATATTTTAAAAAGTACTTAACGTTTGAAGTGGAGAATCTTATCGAATAAAAAAATTTATATAAAGAAATAAGTTATTATAAATCTTTTATTGATCTAAAAAGTACTTCATGTTTAAAGAGATGATGTCTCATCGAATAAAAAAAAATATATAGAAAAATAAGTTATTATAAAACTTTTATTTACCTATTGTAATTCACAATTTTCTCTGTAATTCTCACTTTCACAATTTCAGTAAACAAAGATGTATAATTACACAAATAATTCACAAAATATTTCAAGTTTCAAACATCTTCTGAAATGTAGCCTGTTTCCCGCACCTACCTAGTAAATTTTAAGATTATTTCTTTTCATATTTCAACGAGAGGAAGGTCGCAATTTGCGCATCGCGCGTTTATGTTAGCCTCGTTACTGAGTTATCACCGGTAGCTGCCGCGTAGAAGTAATTACTGCCTCTTCTCGAGAGTGCGGCGACTATTAATCGTCGCTACTGCTTATCATAATTAATTGCGGCATATAACGAGCAGAAGCGCTGCGCCAAAATCCGTGGCTCGACAACATCAGGGGTTCCCACGAAATCTAGCTTGCTCGATATTCAATAGCAAGCAAGCGGCGCGCGGTGGGTCGCGGAATTTATTGTCGCTCTGGCGCCGAGCGTTTATCCGGGATGGGTGGCGTTTTAACGGGCTCGATATTTAACGGGCGTCACCGATAATATTTCTCGCCGCTCACTCGTCGACGGTGGTGGAGCTGCTATAGTCGGCGAAGGCCAGAAAAAGGG